ATTATGTCACTATAATGTAGGGGTGGGCAATTAGTGACCCTCCAGATGTTGTTTAACTGCAGTTTCTACCAGCAATAGCCAGCATAGCCAAGCATGAAGCATGATGGGGGTTGCACTCTGACACCTTTTACAAGTCGTCCAGCCCTGCCATAATGAGACTTTAACTCATGACGAGATTGCTAGTCTAGCAAGTTTTTCTTCTGAATGTGCATCTGTTTCATACAGTTTGCCATCTGAGATTTGGTGGATAATCTGCAGTACTTGGCTTTTGATGACTACGCAGGTTTTCACCCCACCACATGGGGATGCTCTCAGCAATGCTGACTACATAAGAAACAAATAACTGACTAGACCTTCAGAGACCTTCTGAGATTGCTTTGATTTAGACAGCCAGAAAAAAGGGAAATAGCCCAAACTAGAGGAAGAGCTGATAGAATAACCCTATTTCCCATCTCATATCATTCTGCTACCACATGATGGAATGGCTGCCTTCTGCTGACAGTTGATAGATGGTCTTGGGGGAAGCTGGTCTTTCAGCAGAGCTGATGGGATGATGCAGCATCCCATCTCCCTCTGCTGCTCCCTGATAGGATTCATGATGTAAAAGTAAATTTTACTTGATGAGAAGTAAAGCTCATAATGCTTGGCAGGACTTGGGACCAACTACATGTGCATAGGCTTGCAGCCAAAAAGAAGCCTTCGATTATGAACGGCATTCTCTCCCCATTCCACAGAAGAAGTGGTGAGATGAACTCAAAAATTTGCAGGTTGATGGAGCCTTTCTCTTATTTAAAAAAAAAATGCTTTAATTCAGTCATGAAAAATATTGCTATTCCCAAATGTTCCACTTTCAACATTTTTAGTAAAACCAGTGGGATTTTCAAAAATAAACAAATAAATCCTGGTCTATTTTCTCACTAATTGGCTTAGTCATATTTCATTCCCTACTGTGACATCTAGTGGCTAAACCAACTCATTACCCGCACTTTGCGTTTTTCCTCCTTTTTAAGGAGGTATCATCATCCAGCGGTAGCTGAGACCAAGCTCGCTTGCACAATACATGGTGCAGGAGCCGTGAGTTTGGCCACCTGCCTGAGGAATACAATCTTCTTGCGGGCGTCGTTTGAATTCAGGAGGCTTGCCTGGCAGCAATCAAGCTCTCTCTGTGGCTGTTCTCAGGAAACCAGAAGCAGCACAAGGGGTTCTTTCAAAACAACTGCATTGTTTTTAACAAGGCTATCCATAACATAGGTGACTGGGATAGAAAGCAGAGGAAAGGGGCTCTTAAAGCTCTCTTAAAGGCACAGGCACTTATTGTAGGAATGCTGCACCCTGTTAGAAGCTCCTGCAAGAATGTACCTGTTATTTGTTTTAATTAGGGAAAACTCTTTCAGCACAGGATTTCCCCAGAAGCCAGTGTCTCAGGTATAGTGTCAAGGAAAGGTGTGGTCAGTGGCCACCTGCTGAGGACCCACTGCCCCTGGAGTTGCTCCTCCTCTTTACAATGGCATCCTGAGCATACATGTAGCATCATATGTGTGCATGAATTAAACCACGGTGCATTAGCCTGGGCAACTAGTTGATCCAGTTCAGGAGGGAGGAGGAAGAGGAGCAGGAGGTGCCTCTGGCCACCTGTTGTCTGGCTGTCAAGCAAATAAGTGGTTGAATTCATGAAAGAGAAGAGGTGGAGCAAGAACAGCTGTCGAGGAAGGCAGTGAAAGGGCAGACTTGCCAAGGGAGAGGGCTGGGTGGAGGTGTCATGACTAACAGCTCTCACAGTTTGGGAGCTGGCCTTTCCTTAACCAAGGGCAGTCACCTGTGCCCTCTTAAAGAAGACAGCCTCTCTTTGATAGTCTTCCAGAGGATTGTTCTCTGTTTTGAAGGCATTCTCTCTTTCATTGGCTATTTAAGTTCAATTTAAAGGGGGTGGAAGGGCCAGAAGGAGCCCTGAAGTTGCTCATTGACACACAGTACTGTACTGGAACAGCAAACTGAGTAAGGCACATAAGTTACTTGTTCATGCATTCCCACACCGCAGTGAGATATATTGTATGGATCTTTAAATTATAATTTCTAAATTTGCAACTATATACAAAATTAGCATATGCAAAACACATGTTAGTTGATGCACTGTTTTGTCTTCTTTTGGGTTGATACATTTCCTCTTTGTATGGCTATCCAACTCCACCTGTGGTACCTTTCATATATGTTAACATTGTCAATGCTTCCAGAGAAACGGATTATAAAACCTGTATCATCCTGAAATTCAAATAGGGGATGGCTGGAAGGGAAAAGTCACTGAAAAACAGGGACTGCAGCTGTCTATCCCAATAGTGACATGCTTCTGCTTCTTTGCTCTTAGACAATGACCCAGCAGAAATTCAAGAGGGATCGTCAGAACAAAGTCTGGCTTTGTGGCACATGTCAAAAGGGTGCTATTAGCATTTTGATCCTGAGAGCTTACTAGATAAAAGGAAAACCCATACAATGGCTGCAATTGGAGACATCATGGCCTCCATTAATAGTGTGGCTCTATTATTCCCCCCTCCCCTATCCTTCCCTTCTGCACCCTTTCTTGCCTCTTTAATGATGACTTTCATGACTTTCTGTCTTTATTCTGTCTATAACAACAGTTCCTATGGAGCTGATAAAAGAGAAGATTGCTCAGGAGATCACAATGCCTCTTGCCCTGCTGAGGCATACAAATAAATAAATAGGCATGCTGGTTTCACATTTTTAAACATCTCTGGGCACTTTATAGAAGAACTTTACTAAGGTCCCATCTTCTTCTCTGATATTCTGTTGAAAGAAACTGAAAATGATTCAAGAGGAGGATGGCCCTTGTGGAGCAACACTGGAAAAGTCAGACTGAGCTAAGTAATTGGCAATATTACACAGAGCAGTTTCTATCTACCCTCTTAGGATATTTATTTATTGAAACCTTTTATATATACTGTTCAATTAACAAACAGCTCTCAAAATGGTATACAAGAATTAAATCATGGAGCAACCATAGTGAACAACCAAAGTTCATAACCCAGGACCAAACCACGGGTTAACAAGCAATGGATTCTTAGTGCAGGTAGGTCAAACAACATGCTAAGCACAATTTCAACAAAAACTCGCAATTCAACAATTTACACTAAACCCATACTTAGCCTTTGAGTGTGGGCCACCATACTGTCAGGACCCAGTCAAAGGGAACAGGAATGGGAATATACAGTTTGCTAAGAATAATATTATTTTGGATAGCATCTATAAACACTGCTTTAAAAACCTCTTTATTATTAAGTCAGATTCCAGGCAAAAATGCTGATTTCATGTGAGAACTGTGCCAATCCTAATGATATTCAAAACAAGTTGAAACCTCAAAGTCTTTAGGAGGCATCTGTTCCCAGTTGCTATATTTGTGAGAGCTAGCATCGGTATATTAAAAACACCGGTAAGCAATTTAACAAGTAACTATTACAGATGGAAAAATCTTCAGTGAAGAAGTATAAACTGTTTAGGGTAGAAAAATGTTTGTCCTCTATGAACTGCTATTGGAGATTCGTGGAAATCATCCTGGTATTTGTGTGCCTATCTTCATACATGGTCATTTGAAAAATCCTTTTAAAATCTGTTTTAATGTCTCAGTTGCTCTTCATCTAGATGGATTATGGGGCAGTGTATAATACAAACAAACGGGGAACAATGGGCACAATACCATGCAAATAATAAAAATACCTTTCATGCAAACTATAAAACTGAAAGCCAACACACTCAAAGGAAATGCATAAACAGGAATATATGCCTGGGCAAATAAAATACCTTGACATTGAGCCAAAAAGATTAAAGTGTTGCAGAACCAGTCAAACTTCCTAAAGAAAGGTAGTCAGATTAGGGCCACCACCACAACCAAGCCCCTCCTTTACATATCCACAACGCATTTCTTCTTGAGTGGACTAGCAACGGGCTTCATTTGAAGAGCCTCCTGCGTGAGCAGTTTGATATGGGAGGAGTTACACTGTAGACGTGAAGATTTTACCACACACAGCTAATGTTTGTAGTGATAACAGCATTACGCAGGCACAATTGATTTTACCTCCCAAGAACATTCTGGAGGGGAAAAAATCATTATATTATTCAAGGGAATTGACTAGCAAAGGGAACAGGAAGCTGCAGCTATGGGGAGAAGTTATTCTGCCATGCTGAAAAAAGTGATGGCTACTTTAGGAAATTATAGGTGCTTCCAAGAGGTGACAAAAACACCTCACTGAAGCCTCCCAGAGTCATAGAAACAGTGAGTCAGAAGGGCCCCTCCCGGGCCATCTGGTCTGACACTCAGCTCCAGTCAGCTCTACTCTTGACATGGCTACCATGTGCATGTCCAGCCTATCTTTAAACACCCTCACCAATGGCGCTTCAACCACCTCCTGTGGAAGCCCATTCCATACCCTAGGGGTCCTAACTGTCAGGAAGTACTTCTTGGCATCCAAATTGAACCTTGGTTCCCTGAGCTTTGCTCCATTGGAACACATCCTGCCCTCCCCTGCAGGATCGAGAGAGGTGATGGTATGCTCTATATGACTCTGGTGCACCCACAACTGAAGTGCTGTGTCCAATTCTGGCCTCCACATTGCAAGAGGGACAGAGCAAGATTGGAATCAGTTCAGGACAGGGGCACAAGGATGGTGCTTGGATTTTGCGGGGGTGGGGGGGATGCCATATGAGATTGGGAACCGGGACTGTTCAGACTGGAAAAGAGGAGACTCCAAAGGGATCTTCCAGCAACTTACAAGCATGTGAAGGTGTGTCACCAGGTAGAGGGAGTATCCTCCAGGCTGAAAAGACCGAGTTCCCTCAGTCTTGCCTCATATGGCTTTCCCTGCAATCCAAACACCATCTTTGTGGCCCTATGCTGCACTGATTGTAACCTGGCTATATCCTTCCTGTAACGTTGAGCCCAGAACTGAACACAATACTCTAGTTGCAGGCGCACCAGAGTCATATAGAGTCACAGTAATACTTCTCTCGGTCTAGAAGCCACACTTCTGGCTATGCATCCAAGGGTGGCGTTTGCCCTCTTGACCACTGACTGCATCACACTGCTGACTCATGTTTAGCCTGCAGTCGACTAGTACCCCAAGATCTCTTCACGTGTGCTACTCTCCAGACACTTGTCTCCTATCCTGTACTTATGACACCCATTCCTATGCCCTAACTGCAAGACCTTGCACTTATCCACATTGAACGCTATGCTGTTGTCCCCTGCCCACTTCCATAGTCTGTCCAGATCCTTCTGGACTATGCATGGGCCAGAAAACACCAGCCCACCAGCACCCAATTCAAATAAATGTAATGTTTAAAAGTATGACAATCTCCCTGTGTATATTTACTAATGATCACCTCTGCTATCCACACTACAACATACAACATACAAAAGATTGTGCACCCCTGCTGTGCATAATTATAGGATGCAATTCCTGCTGAGTGCAGTGTAATTCGAACTGTTACCTGTGCCTCCTGTGTCAGCATGTCTAAGATTGCAGCCTAAATCATATCAGTTCCTAAATCATATCAGTCCCATATCAGTCCCTACATGTTGATCGGCTGGACCAGCTATTTCCCTCTTTTGTAACATTTTGTATGGGGCATGCATTGGCCTTTATTCCAGCTCTGCTAAGGGCACTGCACTGTCACTGATAGCTCACATTACATCCTTGGATATCTTGTTTTCCCCAACAAGGCATATTCTGTGCAAGATGAAATCTATCTGATGACTTTTTGTTTTAGAAGATGCCATTAATCCAAGGTAAATGGGCCTTGCTTGGCTGCCTCTTTGGTTTATCTCTGGGATGTGAAAGTACACCTTGTAAATGGTGACATTATTAAAAACGGCTGATTGTTTGGAACAGTTTTGTACCTCCTTCTTCAGTTTTGCTTCTTATGACTGCTGATAGATCTGCTTCTTTAAATGTTATGATACACAGCCATTCTCAGTCCCCTTATCACTAGTACTTTTCCTGTTGGCTTCTCTAAATGGAAACCTGATGGAAATTACTAATAGCATTTCAATAAAAAGTGAAATGGATTCTCAGTGGAATATTATTCTGAAAAAAAAGTGAAGCATGCTTTTGGCAACTGAAAATAACCAGGTAAAACAGGAGATGTTTTATTAAACATTATAGCCAAGAACTACAGTAGACCATGGAAAACACGTTCCTCATTTTGAATGCTAATATCAGATGACTTAGCAGTCCATAATATAAAACAATTAAAATAGTCTTGATAGGAATGCTTAATGAAAGCCATGCACCTCACACACCTGCTCAGATTTTTGTGTGCATCGTGAGTTAATTGCATTATTTTTCAGTGCACAGGATCTGCAATAAACCCAATATGAAGATTCAGGTGATCTACAGGCCAAACAGACATTGCTCAAAATGAGTCTAGCAACTGGAGGTTTTTTCTTTTCATTTTTACTCTAGACTAGGTGCAGACTCCCAATCCAAAATGGGTCCCTAGCATGGGAGTAGATGTTAAGATCTGCTTTAGGGCACGGACCTACTCTAGCATAAAAATGTAAAGCTATAACTGCTACTCATTAGTCCCTATTCTTGGCAAGTGGCAGGTGTATTATATTACCATATCCGCATTACCGTTTCTAAAGCTTTTTTTTTCTGGAAACCATCCCCAATTTGGTGCCCTCCAGATATGTTGAATTAAAACTCCCAAAATCCCCATCCATATAGGATGTTGGGAGCTGTGGTCCAATACAACTGAAAGGTGCAAGCTTGGGAATTCTGGGCTAAATCATATGAACAGAGTCGATCTTTCTGATGTGCCAAAGGCATCTTATTTGGGGCAATCCTATGTAGGAGTGGTAAAAAATTAATAGACCACCAAGTAGTACTGGTAATAACTCCAGAATTATAGAAGTATATCTTTCAGGATTTCATTCATGCCCATTACTGAGATTCTCATTCAATCAGTTTCTCATTTGGCAAACTCTTCACATGTTACTAATGAGAAATGTTTGTGTTAAGATGTGCATTTTCTTTAAAAACTACGCATTGCCTCAAGGAACAGCAAAAGGAGTTCCATAATAATATTTTTCCCAGAATGCCTCCAGATGTTGTACTCTTCTGGGGCAGCCCTCCACAAGCTGATGCCCTCCAGAGGTTTTGGATGGCAACTATCATCCCCAACTATCTGTCATATTGGTTGGAGTTTGAGGGAGTTTTACTCCAAAATGTCAGAAGGCGTTTGTTCTGGGACATTGTGGGGAAAATAAATGACTGCCATTAAAAAATTATCCTCTCTACAGGAAACCAACTCCTGTACCCCTAGGAAAGACTAAGAAGAATAGATACATCCATTCGTTCCATCCATTCGTTCCTGACATTCTGAGAGGAACAAAATGGCAGCCACAAAAGTCAGCTCCTCTTAGCAGCAATGGTTAAAATAGTGAAAAGAAAAGGGCGAAATTAGCTCATGGCAACTCTGGAAAAAGTAAGCCCTGGTTTGTTCCCCTTTGCTTCTTTTTCAGTTAAGTTTTCCATTCATCCCAAAACAAATGGAAATCCTTATTCCAGAGAAAAAGCCACTTTGAGGCACTTGGGTTGCCCCAGAAGCTATGTTTTGTGAACCTGATTTGGGTACTGTAGATTAAGCAGAGGAATTCAGAAACCAAAAAAAGAAAGAAATTATGCACATCAAATATAATTCAGTTTTTGGTGGGGAGGGAGGCAGTACCAATCTCAGGCTGATATAAACCCCCCTTTTTTCACATCGAAATACGAGTTTTAAGTTCATATGTACCAGTTTTTGTTTTTTGTTTTTTGGTCCTGCTTGTTCTACCTTTCCTGCTATGCCTCACTTGATTCTGACTCCCAAAACCTTCTCCAAAACAGACACTGGGACTCAGCTTGGAAGAGGTTTGAACCCCCACCTTAACAAGGAAATGGTTACGAGATGGCAGTGGAAATGGTGTTAACAGACATTGCTCATTTAATACCTTAGTGAGGAAAAAGTGGAGCCTTCGTTCACCTTAATATGATCTTGTCCTTGTTTTAAAACGATTAGAGCTGAAATGTAATAGCATTCCCCTTACTTACAGAAGTGCAGCAATTGCAATATAGTTTTATATGCTCTTTCTTCTTACTTTGGGCATTAAGACATTTCAGAGTCACAGGTGGCAAATACTGTAGTGGACACAATAACCATATGAGGAGTTAGGAATCTGCACCATTCACTGATACTGTGAAATTTTTGCCACTTCTGTGACATGAGCCTTAGCATTAGAAAGATCTTCCGGGGTAAACAGAAGTGAGGTCAGGGCAATTTTCAGCAAGAAATATGCTCAAGGCTCCAGTCTAGAATCTAGAGCACATTCTGGATTGCAGTTACTTTATGCACAACATTGGATCCAAACTTAAACAGGTTAAGTACACCTGTTTTGTAGTAAGCTCTGTGTGGAATAGTTTCAAGATGCTGTCCTTCCCAGCTGGATAAAGTCCAACTTGAACAGTTTTCACCACTAGATGTCATCAAAGGCTCAGCGATAGTTTAATATAGCTTGGTAGGGTCACAGCACTATGCAGTAAAGTGTTGATTTCACTGAATGAAGACACCCTTTTGAAATCAAATCCATGTGTTTAAAAATTACAAAGGGACAACCCTGCCAAAGTCAAACAACTTTAAGACCAGTAGATTCCATGTGCTTAACTTGCCTTCCCCTCTCCTGGTTGCACAGCTTAACATGATGAGGCAGTTTCAGAGTATCAGAGAAGCTAAGAGCAATGCCACCAGGAGGTCGGACTGCTTCACTAGGCTGGTCTCCTAGCAGGGTCACCTAAGGTGGAATGATCAAAGCAGAGGTACCCAGCTATAATGCATCCACCCTAAAATGCAACCCTAATTGTCACATCAGCAGAAAACAATGGATCTCTTTAAGGGTGATGAAGGCAGATAAAGGACATTGAAACCACCATTGAAACATGGTTGGGAGATGAGCTGTGCAAATACCCTGCACAAAAGATGAGCTAATCCTAGATCAAATCAAGCCAGAGTTTTTTGTAGAAGCAAAATGGATGAAGCCGAGTCTGTCATACTTGGGACACATCATGAGAAGGCAAAACTCCCTGCAGAAAACAATCATGCTAGGGAAAGTCAAAGGCAGAAGAAGAAAAGAAGGAACAAAGATGAGATGGATTGACTCCATAAAGGAAGCCACAGCCTGGATTTTACAAGAGCTGTCATGGATAGGACATTTTGGAGAGAGTTCATTCATAGGCTGCCATAAGTTGGAAACAACTTGACAGCACTTAACAACAACCTGGTTTTTGCAGTGAATGAGTTGGTCATGCCAATAGGATTCTCCTGGTGCCATATCCCCATGCTCTCCTTTCCCTTGCAGCCCCTCCAAAGCAGATTTGGGGTACATGGGGTTGCAAAGAGAGGGTAAGTCTGTTTTACTAGCAATTTCCATTCCAGTATTGCAGAGAACCTAGAAATATTGTGATTGGTAGACACATTTGGAATGTTGAGAGAGCATGTGTGGACTCACCAAATGGCTGTCAGAAGGGTAGGCTTGCCCATTCATAAAGTAGCTGCCATAATAGGCATGGTCAGTCACAAAACACTAATTGTCTTAAAAGCTGACTGGAAGACCAGAAAAAAGTAACTTGGCTGAGCACCTAAGTGGTGGAGTCTGAGCTTCAAAAACAAACAAACAAACAAACAAACAAACAACCTGACTCAGTTGAACCCACAATTTTCTGCTTTAGTATCTATTTCACAGAAATGAAATAGATGAGACTTGGGGACAAGGACCTTGGTCCAGTAACTGTGGATAAAGCAGAGGCAGACTCTGGGTCCCAACCACAAAATCACATACATTCCCCCACAAAGCACAGCAAAATACTTATCTCACAGAAAGCAAACTTATGCTCCTTAGAGGTACATACCAGACCCCCATACAAAACCCAGGCAACACGTATTGTATGGACACATATTTACATTTATCCATATCACAATGCCCACTGTGCAACAACAAACATGTGAACATGCATCACACACACACACTAGGCAACATGTATATGGCGCATGCACGATGTTTCTGCCACCCCCCATCCCACTGCCCACACACACACACGTCTCTTTTTCTTCTCTGGGGTGGTGGCACATGCTTCAAAGCAACACTTTTGGGACCTCAGTGCAAGTATGGAAATAAAGATGGTGCTGTGTGGCAACAATTGCTCCCTTGGACTGCAAGGAGATCAAACCAGTCAGTCTTAGAGGAGATCAACCCTGACTGCTCTTTAGAAAAACAAGTTGCTTACCTGTAACTGATGTTCTTTGAGTGGACACTCCACTCCATTTATACCACAAAGGGGGAGGGGAACGGAGTTTTCCTGCCAAAAACAGTTAGCTTTCTAATCTTCCGGCCTAGGCACTGCGCAGGCGCAGCAACCCATATGTGTGATGCACAGAGGCCACGACGAAGAAGGCCAGATACTGAAGATGAAACTCAAATACTTCGGCCACCTAATGAGAAGGAAGGACTAACTGGAGAAGACTCTAATGCTGGGAGCAATTGAGGGCAAAAGAAGAAGGGGACGGCAGAGGATGCGGTGGCTAGATGGAGTCACAGAAGCAGTCGGTGTGAGCTTAAGTGGTCTCTGGGGGATGGTGGAGGACAGGAGAACCTGGGCTGGACACAACTTTGTGACTAAACAAACAAACAAACAAAAATGCCAGTCTCATGGTTAGTTTTGTTGAGGACAAAAGAGAGAGAGAGTTCCCTCTTGTTCTGACAATGAGAGAGACAGGCAACACCAGCAAGTAATTTTAGATTAAAATGGTTATTTATTGTAGGTGCACACTAGCAATAGAGAGTGAGCCCAACTCCAGTAGAGACCAGCTGCCACTGCCATCATGCACAGTGCTTTGTTTGCAATCATTAGATGTAGGAAAACATCATGCAGAAAACATTCTGTTACTTTTGTGCATGATCATCTTAGCTTAGAGTGTCAAAACAGCTTGTTCTAGGCTTACACAGAAGTTTATCTTAAGCTTTGGGCAGAAGTTTATCCTATACTTTTGACACTCTTTTGTCAGTCTGATAAAACCCTAAATAACTGACACTTGTTTACTCATCAAGAAACAATTATATTCTTCAGTTTCTTACAAAATAATTTAGGAACAATCAGAGGGACAAGGAGCCTGAAAAGTGCCAGCATATCTGCAGCCACAGTGGAAATCATGGGCACCCAAATGGAAAACTCACCATTAGCAAATGAGCATCATTAAATCAAAACCAATGGGTTTTACATGCTTAACACTCCCTGGATTTTTCCCAATAAATCTGCAAATATAATAGGGATTTTGCCCTTTCCAAAATAGGTGTTAATGCAGTGGTCTATAGTGAAATAATAGTTTTCCAGTATTTTAATGGGGGCAGGGGATTAGAGCAGGGAAAGTCAGCTATTAAATTAAAATTGCAACAAGCTAGAACAAAAGCCTTGTGAAAAATCTCAAAGCATTGCAGCAATCCACAGTGCAACCTTGTGGTTGCATAATAAAATAATTAGAAAGGCAGGGAAATACAACCCCAGGGGGAAAAAAACCCTTGTGTAAGATACATTTTTCTTCCCCAGTCTCCTAGTGAAAACAGAATAAGCCTCAATAAAGCAATGAGTTAAACCCCTCATGTAAAGAAGTCCTTAGACACCACATAACAAGAGATAATGATGTGTCCAACATGTTTGAATTTCCCTGGCCTGGTGCAGTCTTTCTCCATTGGGAAGGCTGCAAACAGCTATTCAGCATGAAATGCAAATGCATATATTGTTAAGCAATATATGTAAGGATCTTCAAAAAAGCTTTGGCTCTTCATAAAAAGAATGAAAATATTGCCATCACAATGGCTTCATGCTTTTTTGGACAAACAGTAGGTAAATGTCTTTTGGTTCAATGCATAATTGGTCTCAGCAAACAGAGCTAAAAAAACAAACAAACAAAAAAGCAAAACACGATTGGGAAACTTCTCTGTCTTTCTTCCACAATCCAAACCCCAAGTTTCAGTGTTGGCTTTTGATGTTGTGAAAGTGTGATTGTGTACAACATCTCCCCCGGCATGCCAGCTTCCCTGTGGGCCCCTTAAAATATAAACCTTTCACTTCCATTCCCTTTTTGCTGCTATCTGTCAGCAAAGGCAGCAGAAAGCCATCACTGAATATTTCTTGGTGAGGGTTTCCTTCTTTTATTTTTTTATTTAGCTTTTTATATAAGCAAGATTTTACTAATATTTAAATGTAGAGTATCGGCATGTATTTGGGTTGGATCATGGCACATGCAACCAAGCAAGCAGAAACTGGTTTCCCTGCCCCTTCTCCACATAGAGGACCCCCCAGCCCCCTTGAAAAGATCAATATTTCCAGTAGAAACAGATCCTGGGTGCTGTGTGTATGCACCCAAACTACAGCCTGTATTAAATGGGAAAATATTCTCTGAGAACTAACATTTCTTCACCCTCATTTTCAGCTGGTTTCCCTCAATTCAGAGGCAGTGTAGTGCCATTATTGAAGTATTGAGCTGGGACCTGGGAGATCCAGGTTCTAATCTCCACTTGGCCAGGAAATTTTCTGGCCACTCAGTGACTTTCAGCCTAATTGACCTCACAGGGTTGGTGTGGAGATAAAATGGAAAGGAGGATCATGTAAGTCTCCTTGGGGTCCTTGCAAGACAGGTTAGTGGAATATAAATGTAATGAATAAATACATTCCAGTAAAGTAAGAATGGTCTCCCTCTTCTTCACAATATGTCCTATGGATTATTTCTTTCATCCAAAAGTATTTTGCAGCATGTCCACTTGGACATCAAAACAGTTCTTCAAATCCCACTGAGCCATAAAGTTCACTAGGTGACCCTGAGCCATGAGAACTTACCATGAGAACAGCAGAACTTATCTCAAAGTGGTGCTGTAAGGATGAAATATGGTGAGGACAGAGAGGAAGAGGACAAGGCACATCACCTTGCTGAAAGAATTCATGTTTTCCCTCTCCCCTCCTCCTTTCTTTTCTTCCTGTACATAGTGTTGTTTTAGATTGTAAGCCTGCAAGCTGGATC